TTCTAGTAATTCGATTATGTAAATTGAGAATAAAATAGGAGAGTTTATAGTACCCTGTTGAAGTCCATTTTCAATCCTAAAGACCTGTCTACATAGATTTGAATCATTGGCTATTATAAATTCGTGATTAGTTATCATATCCACAATTATACTTATTAATTGCTCGGGAAACTCATATGTTATTAGTTTATATACTAATCTCTCTGTCCAAATATTGTTAAAAGCCTTTTCAAAATCTATCATACATGCTCCTATACCAAATTTTTTATTTATGAACCAACAAATATCTGAGGTCAATTTTGTGATAGCATGGACAGTACTATGCTTGTACCTAAATCCAAACTGGTTTTCAGGCATAAGCCGCTTTTCTTCAACAAATTCTACTATTTTGTCATTAATTATTGCTTCATACACTTTACTTATGTTAGGAAGCAGACTTATAGGTCTGTAACTATCTACATCCTTAGGATCCTTTCCTGGTTTCTTTAGCATCACAACTTTAGCTTTTTTCCATATAGATGGGAAATAGCAGTAGTTTAATGCATTATTGAATAAGATAACATATTGTGATATAATGTTCGTACTCAAGTTTTTTAATACTATATTAGGTATTTCATCTACACCCGCCGAAGTTTTATTCCTAAGGTTTTTAAACTTTAAATTTAAGTCTGAGATTGTTATAAAAAATCTATTATTATTTTCGTTTGATGATTTATTTGTTTCACTAAAGTTACACAGGGTAATTTCATTATTTTGTTTTCTAATTTTATTTTCTTTAAACTGTGTAACTCTTTCTCTAACTGTCGCATGAAAATTATTACCATCTGTAATTACATTTTTGTGTGTATTCTCTAAATGAGTCCCTAAAATCTTATAAATATCTACTGGTGTGTTGACTATATATTTATTTGCATTGTTTTTTTCAAGTGTATTAATATCTATGTTGCACTGGCTCAGCAAATTGCATGAATTATTATCTATATTGAGATTTACAATTTTTTGGTCTTGTCTAGTATAAAAAATTTTTTTAATTTCAGGAAACATATTTTGGTTATTAGGTTGTATTTTCTGTATTCTGTTTATCCAGTACTTATCTACTTCTATGTTTATTTGTTCTTTAATGAGACATTTTATGTTTCGTAATAGACTTTTTAATAAGATTATGTCATAAGATGTAAAGTTCAGCCTTTGGCTGTAAATTTTGTGTATGTCGTTAATTAGTTTATTTTTCATTTTACATAATTTTTTCAATTTCGCAGACTCAAGATTTTTTAAATAATTTATTTTTTTTGATACAGGGATCACTTCTACCATAGTTTTTTTTATTACTTGTTCAATTTCTAGGAGATGCCTATTTATATTCGGAATATTAATATTGGTATTATCTTGTATTTTATTTATACTATTTGAGTACTTAAGCTCGAAATTATTGTCTAATTTTTGACGAAATTTTTCCCAATTGGTTTTGTGGTAACAATATTTGTTACTAGTATTATCTTGGACACCCTGTATTTCTATATTAAATTCGAAACCAATAGCATTATGATCGCTATCGTATGCTTTTGTTTCTAGGTTATTTGTATTTGTATTTAATGAATTTAATCTGGTATCCGCAAGAATTAAATCTATATAAGCACCCGACCTTGGATATGTTGGTGTATCTGAATGAAAAAGTGTACATTTATAGGTAATATTATTTGAAATCAGCCACTTGTACAGTCTTGTTCCCCTGTTATTGATATTTTCATTACGCCAAGATGTATGCTTAGCGTTTAAATCTCCAGCAATGATGTAATTATTGTTCAAATTATTTAAATTAAGTTTAATAAATAAATTCTCCAATTCGTCAATAAATTTATTATTAGAACCACTAGGGGCATAAATAGCTATGACATACAAAAATTTTTTGTTCCCTATTTTTAATTTTATGATACAAGGTTCCACACATTCGTAACTATCAAATACTGAATTTGAGACAATTTCATAGGCTAAACCTTTTTTAATACATATACCTGTACCTCCTCCATTTAATTCATTTCTGCGATCTCTCCTTATAAAGTTATAATTTTCTATTTCTAAATAATGTTTTGAGTTTAATTTAGTTTCGTTCAAACACACAATATCAGGATTTTCTTCTTCTAAAAAATGTATTAAAGAATATCTTTTACTATAGGATACTAATGAATTCACGTTAATTGAAATCAATTTTACTCTATCAGAATCTATATTTGCATCAATCATTACTGATAGTTAGGTGATATTCCATACATATCAATAATTTGAGTAATCATTACTGAATGATCCTCCAATTGTTTTTCAATTTTATTGAATTTTTGCTGAATGTTTCGTAATTCTTCAAGTATTTTGTTAACAGAATTATTATTATCTATATTATTGTTATTATTATTGTTATTATTGTTAGTTCTAATTACATTACTATTGTTGTTATTATTGTTAGTATACATATTATTGTTTCTTAATGCATTAGAAAAAGATATAC